TACTACTACTACTACAAGTACTACTATTACTTATACTTACTTATACTTACTTATACTTACTTACTTGCATACTTACATACTTACATGCTTACTTACTTACTTGCCTACTACTACTACTACTACTACTACTACTACTACTACTACGACTACTACTACTACTACCACTTCTACTCCTACTCCTACTACTACTACTCCTCCTACTCCTCCTCCTCCTACTACTACTACTACTCGCTTCTTAGCCGAATAGCACATTATTCAGGGTGGACCTCATGAGTGGTATCTCACATCTTCTTGACCTTGTTGACCTACCATGTGGGAGGAGGGGGGGTTATAAATCAGGTCTTTACATTGTCGGCTTTTTTGTCTGTTTTACTTGCCTACCTTGGGGTAACTTACTCATTTTGAATGACTTCTTATAGGCTGTTGAACTCTCTGGTGGGTCAAAGGCCTCCTTCCTCATCGCTGTTATCCAGTTCCCAAGGCACTGATACTCTTTGATGGCTGCAGGCACACAACAGCCCAGCGCATTTCCCATGGCTACAGGGCTACAAAGGGAAGATTGGAGGTCCCCCAGTGTCCCAAACACATCTCCAAAGTCAATCAATCGGCATTTTCCAGGTGTTCTCTTCTGCTTGGCTATGCTTGGCTGAAGGTGTTCTCTTCTGCATTCACCTCGCTGCTAGTCAGGTGATGGCCTGACTAAAACAACTCGTGCATGACTCTTTCGAAGAACTCTGCCCTCCACAGCCTTGGCTGCGATCCAAATGGCTGCGATCCGTGCTACAGATCCGTGCTCCTCACCTTGGCAATGATGCCATGCTTCATGCCTTCATCCAGTTTTAAGATTCCCAGATCTCGCAGGCGCAGCCGCAGTAGTTAGAGCATATTGGAATTCTTGCACCCCGCGAACGGGCCAGGAGCAGGGATGAAACACCAGGCCGCAGAGTGGCTGCATTGGAGCAATTTCTTCAGCTTCAACGCTTGCCAGTGGCGTTCCGGTGCCACGCTCGGTGCCAATCCGGGTTTCTGGTGCGGACGACGACGACGCCAGCCGGTGCACGCATCCGCTGATGTGAAACTTCAAACAGCTAATTGTAGACTCTTGATATCTCTTGATTGACCCTCCCCCTTTGAATTGGACATCCTCTTCAAGCTTGGGGGCGTTATTTTATCATTAAGAGTCAAACAACAGCTAAAGGTTCACCGCATGGGGAGCTTCTTCACAGCGAGCAAGAGCTGGAGTGTGGCTGCCTTGAGATCCACCGAGAGCTCCTCACCTCGGGATGGAGGAGGCTCCAAGCTGAATAGGTCCGTCCTCCCACAAAAGCCTCAAAGCCTGAAATCCTACCAGATTTTGTTACAAAGGCATGGCAAAACCCTGCGGATTAGGCCACAAAACCCCTGAAGTCCTACAGAAACCGAAATAAGTCCGTTCCGGGCCACCAACCCTGGGCAGTAGAAGCCTCCAATCATCAATCACTGCAAGAGTCCCCCCCTAAAAAATAGAAACTTCTGGGAAGGTATGCGAGCAAGTACAGAGGAGAAGGCAATGGTGAGATATGGTGAGTACTATGGTCAGTATAGGGTGCTGTTTTCGGGAGCAAGTATGTGCTTATAGGTGCTTTGTTAATTTCAGTCTTGTTGAAGGCCCATTCTCCCAGTCAAATGTCAAAGCTTGTCTCGGAGCAAATGACCCCAAACAAGTTCCGAAATAGACCCACTGTGGATCATGTGCACTGTGGATGAAAATGCTTCATAAACTAACGACATCCAACGGGGGTTTTGCATAGCTATGCGCAATCGATGGTAATCTGATCAAGTCTGCAGATTTAAAAAGAAGGCCTACCATCTACCATGGCCTACCAATCATTGTCAGATTATGTCAGATTACCAAAAGTCCTTGAGGAATTTAACACTTTTGATACACTTTTACTACGGCTACTCCCTTGGGGCTACCCCATACGTAGTCCCCACCCAAAAAAGATCGATGAACTTTTTTTGTGATGGCCCACTGACCTTCCCAAGAATCAACAACCGGCTCTTCAATAATGTCCACCTCTCAGTCTCACTCAGAATCTGATCTTGTGGCGCCTTTGACTTGTGCCCCATTGTGCCCCTATAGTTCAACAGCAAAACAAAATCACTTATTGGTGGGTGCTTGAAGGTGTTGTCGAACAAGACTGACCCCCAAAATAATGACACTATTTCCACCTCCAAAATTTGTTTCAATCAGTCTTTGATATAAATGGTGTTTTTGAGTATTTGTTTTGCCCCAACCGTCCCCTAGCACCATTTCTGCAGAGTCCGAAGGGATCTTGAAAAAACGCCGTTGGACATCGCAAACCTCGCTTGGAAATCGCAAGACGCGATTCTATAGATCCACGCGCCTTGAAGATGTGTCAAGATCCAGCCAACCTGCACCTCTGGCCTTAGCGTCGGCGCGATAAAGATTGATCCCAGCATCAGATGGTTTGTCACTCTGAAACCGACTCCGCGCAGGGAACCGACTCCGTTCAATCCAACCGAATGGCGGAATGATTTCAATTCAATCCGAACGTGGCAGTCCCTCGAACTGGATCCCACGGATCGACTTGTGTACCGAAAACAGGTGAACGATGGGTTGAACGATGGGTTGACTACACATTGACATGCTGCAAACGGTTTTAAAAAGAGGACTTCCAAAAAGAAACATCTAAACACATTTAATATATAGTTCCTCTCTCTGCCTTACCTTTCAAAACAACAGCGAAAATTACAAGCAATAATTCCCGTACCTTCAGTGCGTGACCTCTTCAGAGTGTTCACTGTTCACGGACTAAGTGACCTTGTCCTGGGATTTCAAAAGGTCACTTAGAAGGTCATGGCAACACCGCTTCATACTAGTTATCATCATTGTTGTGTGTTTCCCATCTTTCTTCAAGGTTGGACTCCTGACTCAGCGCTCACAGTGAGTCAGGTGACAGTCAGGAGTCAAAACCAAAAACCTAAAAGGAATCAGGGAACAAACCAATAAACAAAACAATCAAAACAGGAGTAGGCAGGTGCGACAAGAAGGTCAATCTGTAAGTGGTTTAAGCACATAAAACAAAACAAACTGCAGGATGGCAGGGTACAGGGTAATGTATATAGGTAGGATGTGTGCATGCCAAACGCTATATCAATCTAGAGTTGGGCTAAAAGCGATACTGCATTGTTGTTTGCTGTGTGTTCTGGCCCTTCTATAATTAGTAACTATAAATAACTATATAGCTACTGTTACTAGTATTGTTGCTATTCGTATTGTTTTTTGTATGATTATATATATATATACATATTTACTCTAGAGATCTATATATAAGTATATAATAAACATATATATATATATATATGCAATTTGTGTAAATATTGTCCAGGAGGATAAAGGGAAATCGAAAAACGCTCTTGGCTTCGTGTAGTAGTGATAAATTCTCTGCATTCAACCGCTAGATACGAGCCAATATGAAACTCCCAAAAAAAGGACCAGCATGAAATCATGGCATTTGTCCAGGAAGAGACAGCAGTGATATCCCTGAGACAGCAGTTCTGTCGCTTTCGATTACTAAAAGGAATACGACCATCAGGACGACGATCACCAGAACACGAAGAAAACGCCAACGGCAACACCACGAGACTCATCCAGTCTGATCTTCGACCGCAACGTTCAACGGAACCATACCACTGGCCAGCAGTCGCACTCAGGCGCAGAAAGGCACAGAAACGAGAGTCCCATCAAGAGTGACCAAGGCCACCTCAAAATCCTGGTTGGCAGTGAACATGCAAAGTGCTACTTCACCAACTACCAACTCCACGCGGAACAGCAATCACCGTATAGTATCCGCCTTACGACCATCGACAACACTCACATGCACATCTCCGTTGCCAGTCCCACAAGATTTCAGCGTGCCACGTGCCGCACGTTTTCGTTATTCATGACCCTGTCTGCGGCACACGCACATCGCCAGCGGAAAACAAAAGAACCGAAAAAAAAAACATGAACATTGAAAAAAAAACATGAACATTGGCAGACACATGCTTCAAACATTCGCCGCATTCGGACGTCTTCAGTGCTCGTTGCGCGCCGTGAAATGGCGACACCACGCGAGTCATCGGGCGACACCACGAGCGAGGCTTTTGCGCCCGTCCAACGACCGATGTCGCTGAGCAACACATGATGTCGTGCGCCCAAAGGAGGTTAGTCACTATCGGTCCTTGAGCCAACAGCAATAACAACCATCATCCAGCAACCATAAGCATACCATAATCACCACAACATACCAACACCATAACCACATAACATATAATTTTCTGTTCTCTATTCCGAGCCATTCCACCGCCCTTTCCAGGAACTT